AACCAAAAAGAAAAATCACTGGGACAAAAGGAAATAAAAAGCACAAAGAAAAGGGAAAGTCGGACAAGGTGCAAGATAAATTTCAACTTAAATTTTACACACGAGAAAAGTTTTCAAAAAGATCTACCAGCAGTCATGACACATTTGTCTAGTTTAGGGTTGCGGGTGGCAAAATCAGATATTTAACCTAATTTAAGAAAATTTAAATATAGGTATATAAATTTTTTATCATCATAGCGGGTGTCATGCCATCCCTTACTAAAAGGGTGGATCCGTCACTGACAGATGTCATCTGTAAGATTACATTGAGTATGTTATTGTTGTTGTTGAGTCGATGTCAGTTAAGTGGTGTACACCATAATTTTTTGTGATTGTATTAGAGGTTTTTGAAGCGCTTAAAAAGGATCCTTAAAATAGAATGCATAGTCATTACACCTCTAATACAAACCTCTACTGCTAGCCTTGATCATATCTATATTACTATATTAAAAGCACGAACGCTCTTAGCGAAATGTCGTTCGCCTTTTTTACCATTTAAAAATAGACTTTACATTGGGTAAAATTGTAACTGAAATTTAATTATTTACCTAATATTTCGGACTTTAAGATAAGCTAAATTTTATTTATTAAATATTTTTTATTTAAGGTATCTAGAAACACCTAATATTTAGGAATCTAAATTGAGGAAAATTTTACTTATAAATATTTTTTCCTTATTTAAATCGTGTAACTATTTTCCTCAAATTTGACTCTTTCATGTTTACAAGTTTTAACACTTTTGGAATTATAACAAAAGATTTTTGCAAGTTTTTGTTTTCGTTTTAATTTTGTAGGAACGTGGGAATCATTAGCATGTTTTCTTAATCCAAACTTTTTCCATGTGCACAAAGAGTTTAAGTTGACTTATAAATTTGCTACTTTTAATATAAATCTTTTAATCATTAATTATGGATAACATGTAAGTTATATTTTATGTCAGATACTATGTCATTCATATTATATTTATAACATTAAATTAACTAACATTTTGCTATTAATCTTTATTTAATTGTATTATTCAGAGTAAGTTCTAATATTTAGAAATTCAAAATCGAATAAAATTTTAACTTTTATAAATTATTTTCTTATCTGAATTGCGTAAAATAATCTTTAGTCAAATTCATATCCAAAGAAGAAAATAAAACATTTAAATTCAATTCCTTATCTATCAAGATCTATAACAATCGTGAATATTGAATATCACCAAACTAGGTTGCACGCATTTTAATAAATTTTCTTTGGATCAACGAATGATCGAGAATATCAAGATATATTATCTTCTACTTTGGTTGAAAAATTCAATCAAAATTATTATATTATCAGTTCAAATGAGAGAAATGAGTTTGGACATAATGACGAACAAGAAAACCAAAAACAACAAAGTCAACAAAGAATAAGTAAGAACTTATTGTTTGGCTATAATGCCGTACGCCTTTTTACCTTTTATATGTTGATTTCACACTGGACTAAATTGTTATTTAGGTTATTTTTCTAATATTTAGGAATTTGAAATCCTAAGATTTAGGAGTTTGAAATTTTATAAAAATATGTTGATCATTTATGCTTTCTTTATTTTAACTAAATAAAAACTACTAATATGTAGCAACTCAAAATATATATAAATCCCTAGCCCAATATGTTGAACTTTATAATATTTCTAAAATATACTACTTACCAAGTTGCCCCATTTATACCAACCAATCGATTTTCTCATCCGCTTCTGATTTCATAATGCTTATGAATGTTCTTATAATGTTTGGTGATGAAAAGTTAGTCTACTCCCTAATTTTCGTGATGTAAACGTTAAATCTCAAGGTCTTTAAAAGTGTATCCTTCCCAAACCCATGAAAGAAAATAATGAATAAGAAGATTTGTTCAAAAAGAGAATTATACTCTAAAGTTACATGATAATTTTATTATCATTAATAATCTTGAATTTATAGTAAAAAATATTTCAAAGTTTAAACGAGAGATAAACAAACGTGGTCGACAAGAGTCAATAACACTAATAATTCTGCAAATACGA